CTGCCTGGTTGTGTTTCTCTTTCTCTTATTGCTTTCTTATCTCATTGTCATTGACACACCATTATCCTTTTTATTGTTGTGTTCCAGCACATATTGGACTCATCTGTCTCATGTTGGGTGCATGTTGTACAAAAACTTTCATCCATTCCATTTTTTTTTTATCTTTATCTCAAAGTGTTCTCCTTGTCTTCACTGAGGCTGTTAGGTAAAGTTATGTTAGCCATGTCCCTTGTTGTTTTGTGAAGTGTTTTTCTTCGTCTATTTCTGGGTAATTCTTGGAATAATTGTTTGCTATCCTTGACTAGTATCCTGGAAACCATCCTTGAATGAACATGTTTAAATATTAGATTTGTTTGTTCGAGTCTTGTTTGTGATTTTCTGACAAACATTCCTGAAAACATTAATGACGCACTGTTTCACAGAAAGCAAACATGATATTTTCAGACTTCAGCACACTCACATTTATCTGGACATGTTTTTGGTGTTTTTGGTATTTAAACTCAAAAGCAGGAAAAATTTGCACAGCGTCATGCTGTCAATGAAAGAAACTAAAATGGGCAAATGTAACCTCTATGACTTCTCTTTGTATTCAATACCTAGAGTTACACCGTGAGGCTTTATTTAGCATTTTGTCCTTTTTGCTCACTTCACCTTCATAAATCTGAGAGGTTTCTGAGTGCTAACCACATTTTGTATTTATGTATGACTAGGAGAGTTGCACTGGTTTTACCTTTCTGCTGTCAGAGTCACTAAGAGGTAAAAGTTGTTTATTAAGGTAAAAAAAAAGTATGAATAATGTTCAAGTTGTTCTTCTTAGAGTCAGTAAAGTCTGAGGTTCTCATATATCACCTTTGTTGTAATGACCAACAAATCACTGTTGCAGAACTGATACTAAGTTTGTTTAAACAAAGCAGCTCTGAAGCCTACCTCTTGTTTTCTTAACATTGTCTTTAGAGAGACTTGATAGGGCTCAATTAGATTTTAAGTTGATGAAAAAAATAGATTTTTTCTTTTCATTTTTTTAAAGGCTAGTAAAGCTGTATTCTTAATTTATTCAGGCCATGCAGTCATGTGGACAGACACAGGGACGTGTCAGCAGTAAATCTTTGTAGTGCTGGATTTAATAAATGCACTCATGCATTTAAGAATGCGATAAATGTGTTAAACACATTGACATTCTCACAGAGAAGTGTGTTTTTATGTGCCCTGCTATTGATTTTCAGTGAAAGTCCTCTTAGGAATGTCAAAGTGTTATACTTTTCAGATAGAATAAATTGATATGCTTGCCATGTGCCTGCAAACATTTCCAGTTCACAGCAAGGAGAATCTTATCACGGTGCCTGACTTTGTCAACACTATTACATTTGGAGCGAGTCAGAGATTAATAACTTCCACGTAAGGAGAAAATAGGAAGAGGCACAGGCTTGGGAGCATACAGAGAGATTAATGAGTGTCAAAAACAATGAATTTTCCATTAGATGGTAGAGTGGCATGCATTTCTTGTTTGGTCTTCCCCGTTTCCTCATCAGATAAGAGCTTGTTCAAGGATCACCAAGGAATGACCTATTTCTTATAGATAAACATTTTGTCCTTTCTGCAGACTCCAGATTAACACTGGCCTATTTTTAAGGCAGAAATATGACTTTTTTTTAACCACAAGGCTTCATTCCATCCTCAGCTGTGGTCTTCGTAATGAGCAAAATGATCACTATCCTTATTGGACATTTGGCCAAGCCTGGTTTAATGGTATTTCTATGTGCAAAATGTTCCACATGGAGGATGGTTACTGAGAAAAATGCAGATTGCTGGATGGCCTTTCACCTGCAGTTTACCTAATACTGCAGATACCAAAAAGTAAACATTCTCTAACTCACACACACACACAGACACACAAACACACACACACAGACACACAAACACACACACTGACACAGCCTTGCCTCTCAAATAGCCTTCTCGGCAAACATGTCATTATTGTTATGATGGATGCCCAGCTGTTCTCAAATATCAGCAGTGTGGAAACACACGAGCGCAGCAGTGATGAGCTTGTTGAATACAGATGCAACTTATAGCATCACAAAAGCTGTAAGAAGGGAGAATTTATCCTGAAAATCAAACGAATGAGGTGAGCACAGTGTGAGCAGTGTCTCACATCCAGCTGGAAGGACACAGTCTTCTGTTAGTCTCTTCGGCATTCTTACAATGGACAGGATACAGTGTCAGCACTCGATGCATTTGTAAAGTAGAGAGGGAAGAGAGGTAAATACTACAAGAGGAGCTTATTTCTTGAGGAGCTAAGAAGTGCTCTTGTCAATCAACCTCTGTGTCATCATGAAGCCGCACACTGTGTGACAACCAGTCAGTGCAGATTCGGTCAATGCGTCTTCACTAAAGCCTCCTGTGCTGCCCCAAGCTCACCTCCATCTTCATCTATTTTTATTACCGAGGGGGAAAAAACAAGACATAAAAACATGGTGAAAACAAGAATGTATAATGCAGAGGTCCAGTTAAAAATAGCCTTTTCAACAGTTTCCCCTTTAAGCAGAAAGTATAGCTTATGTGCTGAGACACAAAATAATGCATGAAATCAATTTTTAAAGTGTGAGAAGTAAACAATCTGATCCTGTGCGCAAATTCTGATCTCAGCATTCCCTGAGAAATCAGTTTTAAAGCAAAGCTCCATCCTCAAATATAGACGTTACCTGATAAGTTCTCACAGGAAGCCAGCAGTGGTCTACCTTCAGGGGTTCTTCACCACTTTTACTATTATGTGGATGTGTGTGTCTGGGGAAAATGTCTTCTATTAAAACACACAATGTCTTCTATTAAAACACCATTTAAAACTGTCCTGTCTGGTATGTGTGTTTGTCTGTTTGATTTCCCTCCTCTTATCCCTTACAGTACATACTGGATCTATGAATTTGGAATTTCCTCCTGCTGTTTAAGTTGAGTCTTGACGAAACACAGTTGAAGGGAGGTGCCCACTTGATAAACCCTGGGGATGTATTGGCTCTTGCCTATACTGTCAGAGATGAGTTGCCTGGGCCATCATTTAAATTTCATGTGGAAAGGTTGTATCAGCATTGTCAATAGGTGGAGCTCACATGCACCTTGGTCTGTTGAAGTGTGAAGTGCTGTTTGGGTTGTTGTGGCCTCTCAAGGCCATGTGGTAGGTTTGTTAAGTTGTTAGTAGGCCAAACGCATTGGGACAAGGTCGCTGTGAGTGTTTGTGTGTGTGTGTGTGTGTGTGTGTGTGTGTATGGGAAGGGTTCCTCACTGAGCACTAATCCTTCTTAATAGGGCACTAGTATCTTGTGTTTATTTTTAAATTAACATTAACCTTGGTTTCACTCTGTGTTTAACTATCGTCTCCTTGAGGAGAGTGCTGTGTTTGTTGACCGATCCACTGCTCCAGACTGCTGCTGCGTCGAGCATGTTCACAGATCTTCATATCACCCACCCTGACCTCTGCCCTCGCCACAGAGGTTTTTGTGTTCACCTTTCCAAAAACAATTTGCTATGCTGTCTTAAAAATGAGGTTTCATTGAAAAAAAATCATCAAATTCTGTTTGATTTATGTTTTACACAAGTCCTAACTTTTAGGAAAATGAGTTGTAAAAGAACACACGTGACTTATACATTATCATCATTGTGGACTGTCTCAGATTGTACTGTACCCTTTTAAAAAGAAGTCAGTACCATAATCTTCCATCAATGTAACTCAGATATTTCTGTTTCCCACATTTGAAATCTTAATCTCTTTTATCTTACTGGTGCTTTTTTTTTTTTTAGACTCTTTCAAACACAGACATGGTGTGTTCTGTTTTCCGGGCTGTAAGGTGCTCTGCTTGGGTTGACAACACACTTCTTCTTCTTCTGATCAGCATTCACTGCTGATGTAGGAGGTTATGCAATGAGTCCTTTTCAAAAATCAGGAGGCTTACCAGCAAATCGAGTGTTAATCTCTTCTAGTCTGAAGCCTCTGGTAACAATGTTCTGTCCTCATTACACATAGCTAAGTGTCTGTACCTGAAAGGCAGCTAAGCACCTTCTTTTATGTAACCACAAACAAAGCGCCTGCCTCTCCACTGATGATGAAAGGAAATTGTTTACCAATCTGCCATGTTTCCCAGAGTTAGCGTGTCATTTGCACAGAGGGTGAAAGTTGAAAGTTGTTGAGCAGAAATCTTCCCAGGAACTGTCAGACAGATTAGCCCGTATGGAGAGAGGTGTGCAAATGTTGCTGCCATTAACATCTTTATAGCGCGTTTGATTTTGATTTCCTGCTAATCTTTTTGCTAAATTTAACTTCACAATGTAGAATGACGATGAAAGAAACGATTAGACATGAAAACCCATGACACAGTAATAAATTCAAGCAAGGACAAGACAAACATGCATATAGATAATCAGATATCATGTGGACTTGTATTTTAGCATCTTTACTTCAAAGTGTTATATATACTGGTCGTGTCTTTTCACCATGCTTTACTGGATAAAGTCAACAGAACTACTGCAGACAACTTTGCAGGTTAGGTTGAATGGAAGATCAAAAAGCTACTTATAGATTTAAATATATGAGACACATCTTATTTTAAATTAGACTTGTTAAATCTGTCTGTGGTTGACGTAATTCAATCAGATGTTAGCATCATGCTAACAAATAAGGAGTTGCATCCTTGACCTTCTGTGAGAAAATGAGATGATAGCCAGTGATTCATTTCTTACTTGTTGGATTTCCCTGAGCTTTGATATATTTGTAATCATGTTTTTTTTGTTCCATTGTAATGTTGTGATGATGTTATGCTCTAACAAAAATGTCATGACAGGTTTGTGGTACATAATAATACTGACTTATACAACTTACCTTTGCACATTGACAACATTTACTCGTCTATTCCAGTCACCATGTGTAGAGCAAATAATCCTCATGCTATCAATGTTCTCCTTCATACCTGTCTAACCTGCTGTTTCCTTGCTCTACCCCCTCATGCTATCAGTGGCTGGGACAAAAAGCAAAGCGAAAGGTGAGTTATTGCCTCCATTTTCTTGCTACATGATTTATGTTGCACACAGTTTCCAATAAACAATGTTTGGATCGCCCTTTTTATCTCCCCCTAGAGCCCAGGAAGCATTAGCATACCCTGCTGGCTGCAAAGCTTTCTGGGCTTTTTTAACCCCCTGATTTCTCCAGGAGAGGTTTTCTGAACACAGCTGCCTCTTTCTCCATCTTAACCTGCTACACGTTTGTATAGATTCACATGTTCACATGAGGGAGCTGCCCGCCTCACCCACTCATGTTCCCCCTGTATTTGGCCACTGTGCAGCTCCACTAGAGCAGCTGGGGGTTGTTCCTGGTTCAAGGACGACTCAGCGGTAGATGAGACAGAATAGTGTTTTCTCATTTGCTTCCAACCCAGATTTTCCCAGAAATACTGTGCATTCAAAAGGGAGATCATAAGCCTTCTTCTTTTTCTTTATTTTACAATACAAACACGTTCATTAATCCCACTTGGGGCAATTTGTTTGAAGAAGCTTGTACTTAAAACACGATGACATAAAAAAACAGACAAATAAATGATACAAAGGAGCTGATTGTGGAATAGAATGTAAAAAAAAATTGATAGATAAACTTCGTATCAAAGTTAAAATGAGTCCATCAGGGAAATGTGTTCAAAAGTACCAACGCCCTGGTGGCTACATAAAACATTTCTTGCAAAAACAATTCAATAAAAGGCAAAAAAGTTGTTTTGTGGATGATTTCTTTCTTTCAAAAAGACTTCGTATCTCATTGATTCATTCTGCGTCTCAGTAGAAGGCTTTGTCCTGTTTGTGTAGGTATTCACTTCATTATCATTGAAGCTGATCTGTTGCCTAATCATGTTTCATTTTCAGATTCATTATGCACTGAGCACATAAATCCAGCACTTAGGTGTCTTGGCTTGCTCTCCAATTTTATATATACATATATATATATGTACATATTCTATTATTGCTCATCCTTTGCTGACATATACAATTGTAGCATCATAACATTGATACCATGTGTCAGTGCTGTTATTGGTGGATTCTGTATCAACTTTATTTTCTTGTTGTTCCAGCTTTTTTCTTTTCTTGTCCAGCTAACAGTTTGAAATCTAAGTGCTTTTATCTTTCTTTTCTTGAATCATGAAATCTAGCCTCCTAACATGCTAACATTCAAAACTTGTGCTTCATTTAAGCAAGTGTTTCTTCATGCTCTGTTTGTTTGTTTGTTTGGCTTCTCCCTTTTCCTTGCACATGTTTTCAACCAAACCCACTAATGAAGTTAATGTTCATGAATGGAACACCGAGGTCCCCCCCCCCCCCTTCTTCCCTTTCCCCCTTTTTAAAATGCAGTGTTTTCTAATTACAGAAGTAATTAGGGGCCTAGTTTTTAATTAACAGAAGTTACACATTCAGCATCTGTACCTCTGGAATCTGGTTCAACATTGCAAAGCCCTTTTCAACAGCACTTTTAGCAGACTAATTACGGTTAATAACTTTTATTAATAACAACCAAGATAATGAATGTAACTGCATGTATCGGTTGTGAATATTGATTAACTGTTTTGACAGCTTTCTATTGTACGCTGATAACTGCTATGCAATTTATAGTGTAATTGTTGAACAAAATGTGAGGAGTAGAGACCAGAATTATAATTATTTGGCACTTAGAAACCATACCTTTGCATTCATTAACATTGATCATATGAGCAGATGTATTTGCCCCCTGCAGACTCACGAGTGTACTTAATGTTTAGACCACTGCCAGTGCAGAGGAAAGCAGTATCATTTCTATAAGTGCATACACTGCATAAAGAGAGTACAATGAGGGTCAAATGCATCATGAGACAACATTTCATGGCCGTGTTTTTACTAGAAGAAGCAGTACATCGGTATAGGGGATTTATTTATGGCTAAGCAGATGGGCAGAGGTAAAACATGAAGCTGCAATAATAAGGCTGCTTTTACAGATCTGTTATGTAACTGTTGTGAAGGGCATATTCAGGCAGGTGGAATGTGAATTTAACAGCATTTCAAATAAAGTGTTTCTGCTAGAGGTTATGTTTCATTTAAAGAGGGATGAGCGAAGATTCTCAGTATGATAACGTTTTATTGAACATCTAAAAGAGCAAAATATTTCTGACCGCGTTATTCTGTGGGCTTTATGGAGACGGACGATGAATGCTTAAATCTCACAGGAAAGTCTTTGAAAGGGATATTTGAAGAGCGTATGGTAACTTGTCTTATTGATCCCACCTCTTGGTTTGTGGAAACTTTGTAGGAAATCCATACTTGTGGTTATTTTGGAAATATGCGATCAGAAGTGTGATCCTCTATCGTTCCATAAATAAAGCCTTTTTCGGTCAGTGAGCAGGCATCTAGAGTTTCCATTTATTTGTAACTCTGTAGACTTTGTATTCTTGATACAAAGCCAGATTTTATTTCTAAAATCCTCTACAAGGAGCAGGATTTGGCAAAAATCTGTCTTGTAAGGCACATCGGTTGAACATGTAATTTTCTCTTTCACCTGGAGACAGTACAGTATTTTTGACCCACTTTCTGAAGCTGATGTATTGCCACTTCCCTCTTCCGTTTTTCCTTTCCCTGCACAGCAAAAAAAAAAAAAAAACACGGCAAAGAGTTTCCCCCAGCTGGGATATTTATTGCCAGAACCCCCCTCCTCTCCCTCCCCCACTGTGGCAAATCACAGGGGAGGACAGCGCTCAGTACCACCTCTGAGTCGAGGGAGGTTCACTTTTGCTCAGGTGCTACTCTGTAACAGGCACCAAATGTCCTTTTTGATGGAGGGTAAAGCTGACAGACAGCTCACTCCGTCTTGGTTATTTCCTTTCTAACAGTCTGCATCTGGCTCTATAGCAGCTCAATCAACTGACTGCATCATTTAAGATCAAACTATCAGTACCCACTATGAATACAATGCAGAGGTGATACACAGATGTCATGTGGTGTGTGTGTGTGGGGGGGGGTGTCATTTCAACACGTGCATTGTGCCTGTCTGATCTGCTGTGAACTGTTTTGGTTTACAGCTAATAAAAGCATTAGCAAAGTACTTTAACTCCAGTGCAGACATGGCACATACAGGAGGATGTGTCCTGAAATGTTCCAAAAACTCAGAGTCTTATCTGATTTGGTAACAACCACCAGAAGCCTTTTGAACCTGAAACATCGTTCAGATAAAAACTGCAGCTGGATTGTGTCAGAATCCACTTTTGTTCATGAGTGACCTCTGCTCATTGTCTGATCCAGCCTCTGTGCATTTGTTCTTGATTGCCAGATGCGGTTGGTGTGCAGACGAGAGTGACAGGGAGTACATTACTAATCTGGGCAGAAGTAATCACAGCCTTAGCTTTTACCATAATTACATATGGATTTTCTATGACTGGATGAATTGCATATTGGAAGGCCTGCATACTAAGATTTCAAATGTTCCCTTTTGATTTAAAATTGCGACATTATCTAAAGCTGACTGTGCTCAAAGCAGGAGTTGCACGATTCTCGAACATGGATCATTTTAGACAGGTAATTTACAGATTAGCTTCAGTTAATGGATCAGATTTAGTGCTAATTGGCTGCTGCCCTTAAATAGTTGCTTAAATCTCTCCAATCAACCAGGCTGATAGCTTCTAAAAAGGCCCAGCATATTGAGTGCCTCGGATCAGCCGGGTTGCCATAAACATAAGAGCAGCTCTGTTGACGTTGACCCACGGGGCTTATATTACGCCGTCAGAGTAAATGATTGTTTTCGGTGACTGGAATGACCTTTCAGTCATTAAAGAAATGAATTACATGAAATACGTTTTTGCCCATGTTTTCCTCTGAAGACTTTTCAGAAAAGGCCGTTCTAGGTGAAAACAATCAGATATTATGAGGTTACTTCACGGGCCAATTTATAAAGCAACCTGTCTTATCGATTTTAATAACCATTCACCTTCAAGTATTTCCTTTATCAACACCTCCAGTTAAAGGCAGTAAAGTAATGTGTCAGTACAGGTGGCATGTTATTTTCAGTTATTATGCAAATGACATGTGAGGTAAGATTAATCATGCTGTTTGCACTTCTATATTCTTTCTTTAATGTGTCTTTTACTTGTATATAGCTTACAAACTAAATTAGATGTTTCAGTGTTTAAATTAAAGTCTGTAGTTTTCTCTTTAATGAAAGGTCTTTGTATCATTTATGTTAAGATGAACTCGTAGATTTAATCACTTTTACATAATTTCCTCGCTCTCTCTACTCACACAAACTTCCGTCACACGCTCCAAGTAAATAGGCAATTAGGACCAGCTACTAACAAAGCTGTTTCACTCTCAAGACTATTCAGAAATTGTGACAGAAAGTAACCACTGAAGGGCTTTGCATGCATTAGTATGCTGCATACTGGCTACATCTAGGCTCAATTTTCAGAAGTGGTCCTCTTTGGACTCCAGTGAATGGAACATGTTGTTTACATGATATACTTCAAAGAGAGTGCTGGTGCACAGCAACATACAGTATGGAATATTAATGTGCGGAAAAATTCACAACTCTGAGATCTTTTTGTAACCAGCAGATAAGCCACGAGCAGAGCAGCGACTAAAAACAGACACTGTTCTTGTTTTTGAAAGGTTTGTCTACCATATGATTCATGTACTTACTTTGATACTTCACTAGATTTTCAAATATAAGATTCCCTACAGACTCTTAATGGACAAATGTAAGAAGATTAATAAAGAATGCACGGCTCAGTTTGGTAGATTTCTTGAACCAGTGACCTGTGAAAGAATTGACAATGGTTAGTATTTCAGTTGTCCTGCACAGAAGGCTCAGCATTAATCGAGTCTGCTTCACTCCCTTTGAAGGAGCAGTGTTGTTAGTTTTGGCAGATAGACCACATAAATGGTATACCAGGCAATAATATCAATACTACGCAGGAGAATCATGTGACAGGCAGCCATTATCTGGATAGCCAGGGACAGACACTCTCTGTCCTTATTGTTGGAC